CTGATTTATTATAAATTGGATTTAGACTGTGTATACGAAAATGTAATATATGCGCTACACATTAAGGGTATAACTAGCTTTTAAATGTAATAGTTATAGTGTTATCACTATTACTATTATTACTATTATGACTATTAATATTATTAATATTATTATGTGTTGGAACATATTGTTTTGTTGATGACAAACGACTAGTGTTACTTTTGGTCTATAAGTGATTGCAGGAAAGGAAGATAAGTCGTGCTTTGGAACAAGTCGTAGACCTGAACCCGGAACTATCCTACAACGGACATATATGTTTTGTTGATAACTAACCATGCAGGTGGAACGACGAACAGAACCACTATCAGTTCCATACGGAACGGAAGACAGAACTATCCTTAGTTCTGTTCTGTGCGAATGGGTGACATACATGATTAATATGTGCTAGCATAATAATACTATGGTTGGGTTGAATTGTCACCTACGGTCAAGATCTTATTTGATGTAGTCATGCATATTATAATTATACGTAATACAATCTCTTTCCATGCATGATGGGATACCCACTCAAATTAGTCTAATTCTTTATGGAAAGAATCCTTTTGACCATAACATACGTATGTGTGCTAATTAAGTGCCTTGCTATTTGTTAAGTAAATATTCTTTACGGTTTGAATTATTATCTTTGATTGAGAGATTAAAATAAATATCTTAAAGGATCTTTAAGTGCTAATGCATGATTGCATGTTGACCGTGCAAGTCTATTTTTAAGTAAATAATTTATTACTTTTGGAAAGACTACTTGACTAAATTATATATGGTTTGATGATAAGTGAATTAACGTAACTATCTTTCTTTATACGGATATTGCTTGTGAATTTATAGTTGTGATATTTTAAATATCTTTATTTGGCTGCCTTATATATTGAGCTTGACTATGGCAAATATTATGAAAGGAAAGCAATTCAAAATATCAAGGCAAGTCACAAGATTAGAAGATCAACTATTCAAGGAATGATGCTCAAACGGTCTGCCCAAGACTGCCTATATAAACGAAGCAGCCAAAGAGAAATAAAGGTGTGCTTGACCAGAGAAATATTCAGAGACACACTCGAGAAAAATACGAAGTTCAAGGCACCTGAAACTGCTCACTTGGAGTTCTAGATAGAGTTTCTTCTTTCCCTTCTTCATATTGTACTGGGGTTTTGAGGATTGGCTAAGAGTAGCCTCCTCGGGTTGGTTTGTGTGTGTGAGAGCTTTGTTGTAAAGCTGAGAGGCTCTCTACTCGCAAGGTAGAGATGCATAACTCTTCCTAGAGAGGATAGAGTTGGGGTGGCTCAAGGGTAGACTAGGAGAGTTTCCCTTGTAATCATTCAAAAGGCTTTTTAGTGAAGTTGTTTAAAATTCCTCCGAGGGAGGTCGAGGTTTTTTAATCCCTTTGAGCCAAGGGATTTTTCCTCGTTAAATCCTTGTGCACTTTACTTTTCGCAATTCCCTTTACCCCGCACTAGAACTGGGCGAAAAACTGCCTCAGTTCCACACACACACAATTCACCCCCCCTCTTGTGTTGCTAACCGTTTTCATCAATATGCCATTATAACTATTATTAATCGAATATATTTGATAACATTCAAATCGAACATACTCATATTTTTATTTGTATTTGATAACAATTCAAAGCAAATTTAGTATTTTTATTTGTATTTGACCTTTTTCGAATTACATGAATTCGAATCGCGAATCGAGCATAAATTATTTGATTCATATAACCTCAATATTAAATTACTAAGCGCTCGAAATGATGGTAAATAAGTTATACACGGAAGGTTAATAAAGAATAAGACCTTTTCATTTTGACTGAGGTTGGAAGCAAAATATGATCACATATATGGTTTTTAACATTTTCTTCTGGAAAATGACTATGAACAATTAGAAATTGAAGGTTTAGCTACACAAAAACAAGCAAATAAATGTGAAAGAGACAAACTAGCTATACTAAAAAAGGAAAGTTAATTGTGTGGTACGGATTATTACGGAGTTTATTATTACTCCGTATTTAATAATAATTCATAATTTGTAAGAACATCATTACATGTGGCCTTTGTGTTGACTTCTATTTTGTTGACTTCTTGAATGACTTGCAAGTTGCAATGTTTCTCCAACGTCGTTCACAGTTCATACAGCGCAAGTTATTACGCAAACGTGTTAATGAATGGGAAAGGGAAATATCCATTTTTGTTTCGAAATTATTATTTTTCTAAATCCAAAAAGTAATAATTAGATGCACGTGACCTCTACTTTAAATGAGCTAAGTGGTTAGGAGTTAAACTTGGTATCAACCTGAGAACGTATTTATTATAGTCTAAATTTGTTGAGGACTAGTTTAATCACATTATCACATAAGATTTGTTTAAGTATGTTAAACTTTAGTTTGATATTATTTGGTCTTATTTTCACTAGAAAAAAACCCTGATTTGCGGCGGTCTTAATGCTTCACGTGTGGCGGTTTTTTCATATGGTGGATGGACTTCCTCTCTCAACATGGAAACAACCATCATTGGCGATGCTCTTAAATTGCATATCTTCTTAGTTATCCTTACTTTAGATTTTAATGTTTGTTATCCTAATGGGCCAGGTCTAGCACCCCATTAGGCTTTTTCTTTGTTTTCATTACTTATTTTTCCATGTGTTTTGGGAAGGGATGCCTTCTCGGGAGAGGTTTTTGATCTAGTCTCCCTCTCTTTTGTATTTTATTATTCAAATAAAATTTGATAAATGTTCTTTGGCATTTATCCCATCGATGGGTGGCCAAACTGCCGGGATAAAAAAAAGATGTAACTCACGCATAAGATGTAATTTCATATACTATCAATGTAAACAATGAAATGAATCTAATTGTTCAATTACTTTACATAAATAGTGAATATATTTTGTTTTTAATATTTAAGGCCATAAAAAAATAAAAATCATTTTTTTGCCAAAAAAACATTTTTCGCCAAAAAATGATTTTTTTTGTTTCAATAGTACGAGTTTATTTTGTGATGTAACTCATGTTATGAAAAATGTAACTCACGTTGATGAAAAATCTAACTTAGGTGTATGCAAATTGTAATTTGTTGCGACAATTTTTTTTACTCCAGGGGGGTCTGGGGGAGGGGGAGCTTGGAGTAATAGGGGCTGAAACTCACTCCATTGAGTTTTAACCCCCTATATGCCTAGCGGATTTCGAACTCGAGACCTTTTACTAGGCACGGTAATCTCGCAACCAGTTGGGGTGGAATGCTTGGTTAACTTGTTGAGACAAGTAGAAATGTAACTCGCGCATAGAAAAATGTAATTCACACATAAAAGTTGCAATTCATGCTTAAAATAATTGTTACTCTCACATAAGAACATGTAACTTTATATAATATCAAATGTAACTCTCAAAATTGTCTATAAACATAACAAACAGATATGGAAAATATAATCTCATGTTTTATCAAATTTAAATCGAAACAAACAAACTTAATGTCTTAAGAACACTAAAAATCTATAAAAGAGATGAGAAGTATATTATAAAAAAGTGTATGAATATGAAAAATATTTTACAAAAAACGTGCATAAATGCAAAAAATACTAGACAAAAAATAAAATCCGGTAGTAATTTCAGTTGAAGGAAAACAAGTAAAAAAATAGTGTACGATCATGAAATAAAATATACTTATTTTATGTGGATTATAAAATTTTGTAATAAAATGATAAAGAAAAAAAGTTTATTCAATTATAACTTAATTAATTAAAGATAAAGATACGTTAAATCATAATTAATTTTTTGTCTTTTGATGAAGAGAAGAAAAGAATTGAAGAAAATAAGAGAGAAAAATACAGAGAAAAATCTGGAAGACTTGAGAGAAAAGAATGAAAAGGTTCGTAATGTTCCAAAAAAATAAGAGCCCGTTTGGCTGTATTGGCTGATTCGGCTGAAATTTATGAAGTTCTAGCTGAAGTGGCTGTATTGGTTGATTCTGCTGATTCATGAAAAAATTATATTAAAAATATTTTTTATCAATAAATAAAATAAAAAATTATATGAAAAAATAGCTAAAATGATCCTCTACAGTAACTTCAGCCAATACAGCTAGAAAAGTAACTTCAACCTTACTTGTTCTGCTTATTACACAATTCAGTGCGCGAAATAAAAAATAACATGTTTGGTGAAAAAGCTGGATGATAAGTCTGATAAGCTGAAAAGGGGTCACCAAACGGGCTCTAAAATGGTTCCATATATACAAGCCGTGATAAGCCAGTACCACCGTATAATTTGAGATATTTTGGGGGAGGGGGGCTAGATTGAGAGCCCCTTTGGTAGCACAAAATCGGCTGATTTGGCTGATTCTGCTGAAATTTATGAAATTATGATTGAAATGGCTGCATTGGCTAATTCTGCTGTTTAAAGAAAAAAATATTTTTAAGGGAAAACTGTCAAATAGGTCCTCGAACTTTCATAAAAAAGTCAATTAAGTCCTATAGAAGACTCTGTCCGGCCATCGTGATTTGGGGCGGTTCCCGGTGGAATTTTTTGATGAAGTTTTTTGAGCATCTTATTCATTAAGTCTAGTTTACTCATACCAAATTTCAGCTAAAAATTCAATTGGGAACGTATTCAAATTAATCCGAGAACGCAATTATCTTCAAATTTATTTTATTGTATTTATAAAATAAAGAAAAAATTATATGTAAAAATAGTTAAAATGGTCATTTATACTAACTTCAGTCAATACAGGCAGAAAAGTAACCCAAACCTTACTTTTTCTGCTTATTACACAATTAAATGCGCGAAAAAAAAATTTATTGGTGAAAAAATTGTTGATAATTCGAAAAATAGGGCTGTCAAACGGCCTCTCATGTTTATTCTGATGTATGTGAATTAGTGAATAGGTCAAGATCGAAGGTCAAACCACACTATTTCTAACTTGGCCATCTCTCAAGACTTAAGTGGCATGCTACATCTTTTGTCATTTCAATATTTGACCATATTTCCTTGGCTTGGGGCGGAAGAAGCGGAAGTCAGTGATACGCCACTGCTTCCGTCACCGTTTCTGTCTCCTCTGCCTCCCTCCCCTTTATATACACCCCAGAACGCCTTCTCGTCCTCCATTGATCGTTTCCGATCGAAATTTTTGATAATTAAATCAGATGGGAAGTTGGTTCTCTTCGCTGGAAACTCGGCAGAGAAGAAGGGAGAAGAAGAAGAAGACGCACACCTCCGCCGCCGCCGCCGACGTGATTTTGACTAACGGAGAACTCCGACGGTTCTCTGTTCCGGTGAGAGTTTCTCAAGTGCTATTCTCCGGCACGGAGGGGGCGCCGGCATTCTTCGTCTGCAACTCCGACCGCCTCTGCTTCGACGAACATATACCCGCTATGGCTGCGGATGATGAGCTGGAGGCTGGTCAGATCTATTTCATTCTCCCCGTGAATAAGCTTTTGCATCGTCTGGCCGGATCAGATATGGCTGCTCTCGCAGTCAAGGCCAGCGCCGCGCTTCGGAACAACCAAAATCGCCACCGGGACAGTAAAAGGATGTCTGGTACGAGGAATATTTGTAGGATATCCCCTGTTATTGGTAGTGGTATTGAGGCATCGTTATCGTCGTCTTTATCGTCATCGTCGTCATCCGGACTAGGTGTTGACATGAGGAAAAAGGCGGTGATGAGGATGCAAAGATACTCTTCTCGGCGGGCTAAGATTGCGGTGCGCTCGTTCCGACTCAAGCTCATGACCATTCAAGAAGACGGCTGATACATGTCATAATCAGCCGTCTTCTTTGAATAACATCTGATTTCTAGACGACAATCTTATAAGAAATCAGGCCTATGGCAATATCGATGACTCGTCCCTCATAAAACGTCACCGTTCTTCATCAATATGAGACACAAATAAATGTTTGTATGATCCCGAAAGTGTTCTTGTTCTGTTGTGGAGCCGTGGAGGTTCCATGCTTCCTGAGAGCACAAATGTTCAAAGATTTGTTTCAGGGGCCTTTCCATCCACTTCTTGCCCATAGCAAATAAAACCAGTTCTATGGCCCGGATGAATGTCTTTATTACTCAAATCAAAACTTCTATATTATCAATATCTTTTACTCAAACTATGAGGATTTATGTTATATACCTTAGAATTGAGTAATTTTCCATCATTTGCAGTAGAGCCAAAAATTCATTATTTTTTGGCTTGAGAATATGATGAAATAAAGCAAAATGGTTCACCAAACTGTTTGCCCTTCTTTGTTATAAAGCAACCGTCAGTGTATGCAATTTTTGACGCGATTTTCATTATGGGTCATCCGGAAACAGTCTTCCTGTGCTATAGTACAGGGGTAAGACTACGTACATCCGACCCCCTTACTCCACCGTAGGTGGGAGCCTTTGCGGCAGTGAGGTAAATGATGATTGATTGACCGTAAAACTGTTAGTTAGCTAGCATTGTGTTCATGTCCACCACACAGCCTATGATCCGCTCAACCTGTTTTGAGATTATGGTGCCATGTTTGATTCTTATCATAGTCCTCTTTTCCGTTGTCATCTATTTTTCAACTATGATCTAATATACGGAGTAAAGAAATTTCCCTTGATTGGACCAAAATAACGATAATGTACAACAATAAGAGTTACATTATTATTATCTTTCTAAATTTTGAGTATATATGGTGGGGTGAGGGTTTTATGCTTGGAACCCTCTCGTGTTCCGTGAATTTGACTCATTAGTCACTGTGATTTAAAAATGGGAAATTGTCCTAAATAGAACTGAATAGGTTTTGAAATTCCAAAATAGAACTGCTATGTTATTCTTCCTAAATAGGAAGCGTTACTGCCATGATCGAAAAATATTGTCATGATTGAAAAATATTGTCATTAATGATAGTGAATAATGTCATGTTAAGGGGTGTTTGGAACTGATTCTGATTCTGATTCTGCTTCTTTTTTAAAGAATAAGCAGAATCAGAATCAGTTTTCAGAAGCTGTTCACCCCCAACTTCTAAAAAAACTGATTCTAGGAGTAATTTAGAACACCAGAATCACTTCTTCACTTTCAGCCAAACACTCCAACTTCTGATTCTGCTCTTTAAGGGAGCAGAATCAGTTTTAAGAATCAGATCCAAACACCCCCTTAAATAGGTTAGCCTAATTACATAAATATGACCAAAATAAAGATGATTTGCAAAAGTATAATTAGTGACTAGAGTAGTAATGAAATCATAGTAATTCATGTTCAAGTTTTGAGCTTTAGTTACCACAACACTACATTGTAGTAATGAATAGTTATATTTATGTAAATATGTTTTATTTTAGTAATATTCTTGTAAAAAACCCTTATTGCAACTATTTGGCAGTAATAACTAGAAGATGACTATAAATACTGTCATATTACTCTTCGGGAAGAAAAAAATAGAAAAAATGGCACCGATATAACCTCAGCAGTTTGTGTGGACACAAATATGAGTAAATCTGATTAGGACAAAAATGTATCGATTTAAATTTTCCGCTACCTTATATTCTTTCCCTTCTAACGCGACCAAGCATTTCTTCTTTCTCTCCTATTCACCATCCCTGTTTCTCATCTTCAACATCTACCATGAATCCACCTCCGTAGCGACGCATCGAAGCAGACGGAGACCACCACCAGCAGACCGGTCGTCTCTTCTTTCTCTCCTCTACCGGCTGCCAAGGTCCGCCGCCCTATTTGGGGCTAAGCCGCTAAGGTGAATCTCCTTCTTCTTCGCACCGCACTGCCTTCTTCTTCGTTGTGAATCGTCATCTCATCAATTTATTCCGCCGCCCTATTTCAGATTTGGTGGTTGTTGAGTCACAGAGGGCTAGACTGGGACGAGGCAGCACGGTGATTGGTTGGGCTGATGCGAGTGGCAGAGGGCTGGCAGTTCGGAGTTGGAGTTAGGGGAGTGGGCTGGGTGTTGGACAGGGGCGGGGCTGTCGGAGGTGAGGCTGGGGAGCTCGAATGGGGGGTGGGACATGGGGTGGGACAGGTGGGACATGGGCTGGGGCTAAGGAGTTGGTATTGGGGGGCATCCGTGGTGTTTTGGGTAACGGCCGTGCCGGCCTAGCGGCAGTGGCGGCATGATTGCAGGCTGCAGATTTGGTTGATAATTGTATAGTAACTGTGGCCGGTGACGATTGGGGATTGGAAGGAGTAGGCGGTTTGGTAGTGTCGGAGGTATGACGGTGTCGACAGGGTGTCACTCCGAAAGCGGTGTCAATGTCGGGTGTCACTATGGCGGTGTCACTGCGGGCAGAGTCACTGCGCCGGTATCACTACGGGCGGAGTCACTGTGCCGGTGTCACTGTGGGCGGAGTCACTACGCCGGTGTCACTGCAGGGGGAGTCACTATGCCGGTGTCACTGCTGGCGGAGTCACTATGACGGTGTCACTGTGGCGGAGTCACTGTGACGGTGTCACTGTGACGGAGTCACTGTGACGGAGTTACTGTGATAGAGTCACTGTGGCGGAGTCACTGTGACGGTGTCACTGTGGCCGGAGTCAGTGTAACCGGGGTCAGTGTGGATTAGTGATTGGCGAAGGAGGCGGTGCACGAAGCGACGGCGACGGTGTTGGCGGTGTATTAAATTTCTTGGTAGTCACTATCATTGCCGGCGGGGGCGGAGCACTGACCGCGGGAGCGGAGCACCGGTGGCGGATGCCCGGCGGTGGGGCAGGGGCTGACCGGCGGTGGGTGAATGGATGGTGTATGCCTGCAGCATTAGTTTTCCGGTAACTACGTATAAAAAATTTACTTTGAAACAATAAGAGGAAACTCCGTATAAAATTAAATAAATAGTATAAATGATACTCCGTAACCTTGATCACTTTTGTGGAAAACGTTAAATATAGTTATACGGATGTCTTTTGTCCTTCGATCGGTAATATTCAAATAAAAAGGCCAAAAAAATAACAGTCATATAATGGAATTCCATAACTTATTTACTCCTATGTTGGGAAATCTCTCTTTAAAAAATGCATCAAATGTCACCGAAAACATGTATGATATTTATTTGTATATTCAATCATAATATTAAATAATTGATTCCAAATACTTAAAATGGTACTTAAAGGGGGTTTCACGCATGAATGATTATAATACAGAAAGATTTGACACATTTTTATATCACAAGAGCTAATGTGTCTGTGTACAAGGCAACTTCTACATAAAATGTGTACAAAAAGTGTGTATATACCAATTTAGTACTAATTGACAAACATTCGTATTAATTTAGTACCCCCCCTATCCCGTTGAAAGGTTCTGACTTTCCTTGTTTGAGTGTCTCATTTAAAGATTAACAATTTATTTTCGAAAATAATTTACTCTCTTTAATTACTCATTTACTCAAATTTATCGTTCTCACTCATTACATCCCAAGTCTCACAATTTCCTCTTCCCCAACTTATCTCCCTTTAATTACTTTCACTTTATATGTTTACTTTTTCTAAACTTTCTCTTTTCTCTCTTATTTATCCAAATTACTTTATTTAACAATTTGTCTAAAAAATAGTGTCATTTACCTACGAGAACCTTCCAACGGGACGGAGGGAGTAATAAGTTTTTAAATATGCAAAGTGATCGAGGTTTCTCTTGTCAAACTAGTTAAGAACCTAACTTCATTGTGTAATTATCGAAAGAAACTACCCCCATTATGGGTTGGTCTTCCCCCGAATAATCTCATCCATACGTAATTTCAAAATAATCTCATTTCTCCATATCATCTTCTTTCACCGGTACCTGACCGGCTGATAACCTGCTATTTCGGTGGGGGTTATCCTTTCATCGATCTTCTCAAAACAGTCTCATGCAAGAATCATTTTTTTTTCATTTTTTCCTCCGTTTTGTCTTTATTTGAAGACACTTTTTTATCTTCTTACTAATTATTTATTTTCTTTGTTTACATGTTTGCTTCTGTCATATCACAAAAGCTTTCGCCATATTAGAAGTCATTATTTTTTCTTCTTTCTTTTTCACTACATCTTTTTTCTATAATCTTTGACATGTTAGCGACTTGGCAATTTTTTTTGGCAAATCTTTCTAACCTATTATAGCATATGTTCTGTTAAGGCCAACATTCTTGAACTGAGATGAGATTCGAACTTGTGTCCTCCTCTTTGGAAGTGTCACAGTAATGCCACCAGACCACAAGGTACTTGGTGATAATAAAAATCTTTGAATGGTTACAAGTAGGGGTAGGAATAGGTCAGGCGGCCTGTCAGGGGCCTGTGGCCTGGCCTGCTTAAGGTCTGGCCTAGCCTGGCCTGTTTAATAATCAAAGTAGGTTTGGGATTTTCGAAAAGCCCGTTTAACTAAATAGGCCAGACTTAGCCCAACACTAAAGCCTATTTAGCTTAACAGGCTGGCCTATTTATATGTGTATATATATGTTTGTATATATATTTAGTTATATTTATATTTATTTGTATTATTTACTTACGTATATTATATTAGTATAATTAACTATAGCAAATTAAGCATTAGTATTTTTATGAAGCGTGTATTATATAAGTACACACTTAATTACACACTTAATATTAGAATACTATTTCAATTAATAAAGTGTGTTAATAGGGTATTAGGGTAATTGAAATTCATAGTTTTTCAAGATCTGAAGTATATAAAAAATTTTAAGCTACATAATTAACGTATTATTATACAATCAAAGCAACCTAACGTATTATTAAACTTTTTAGTGAATATTGGGGGGGGGGGGCAAATTTTTATATCGGGCTAAAAGGATTTTTCACTTTTTATTTTTTATTTTTTTTGAACTTTTGATTTTTTCTTAACAGGCCCACAAAATAAGCTTCAGGCCAGGCCAGGCTTTTCAACAGGCCAGGCTCAGGCTGAACAAACAGGTCTATAACATGTAACAGGACAGACTCAGGCCTATTAATTCTAAAACAGGTCCGGCCTGTTTAGGCAAAAGTATGGTTTGGCCTGGCCTATTTCCACCCCTAGTTACAAGAGAAAGTCTCCCAGTCTACCCTTGAGCCACCCCAACTCTATCCTCTCTAGGAAGAGTTATACTGCGAGTAGAGAGTCCACAAAGCTTCTCACAACACACATACAAACCTAGAGGATGCTAAAAAATAGTCAATTCTCAAAACCCCATTACAAAGAGAAGAAGAGTAAGAACTGTGTGTAGAACTCTAGTCTGGGCTGTTCCAGGCACTTGGACTTCAATGTTACTTCAGTGAATATGTCTCTCTGATTT